AAACAATTTTTACGTGAAAAACAAATGACCCGGTCGTTCTCTTTCGGGAAAACGACGTAACTTGGCTCAAAACTGATGAAATCGGGTGTTTTTTGGGTAACTTTAGATCAGAATTTCATTTTAAACTCGAATACAATATCTATTTCATGTTTTGTGTTAGAGTTACGGACGGAAATTTTGAATTTATTATGAAAAACCTCCTTAATTGGTCTAACACACGCAAATCCATTATCGTGCAGCTCAACAGCCTACAGTAAGTTTTTTTGTAAAAAGAGTTTCATACGCTATTCTTCGTAGTTAGTTGTTGTAGTCTGAGCTCAATCCCCTNTGATTTCCTGTCTCAGTCCTTATGGTGTCGTTTATCCTGTGCAATTTGAAAACTCTTTCTTCTTCTTCCTTTGCTTGACCTCTTCGTTAACATCTTACTTCATTCTCATTATTTTGTTTTCATCTTCTCTCTATCAGTTGAGAGAGAGAAGAGATTTTCATTTTTGAATGTAGAAGGGAAAGACCCTGTCGTTCCCTTTTCGAAAGGTGTCCAGCTGTGTTCTCAGCTCGCCATCTTCATTGTTTCATTCCTCGTTTCATATATTTCTCCCGTGTTCACACTTTTCTGATTCAGTTTCATGAGCTGTATCTGATTGTGGTATGCGCTTTCCATTCCATTGATGCTCTGTAAGGTTATTCTTCGTCTTTCACGCTCCCTCTCTTTCCTTTCATTCTCCGTGCCTTGGACTCTCATTCGAAACGAATCTTTCTCTCTTAAGTTTATACTTTCTTATTCATACTCATTCAATCATCACGTTCATGTTCATACTCATTCGAACCGGCTTTCCATGCTCTTTCCTAATCTGCTGCGCGCTTTTCGTTTTGGTTATGTCGGGAAAAGTTTTTTTTCTCGAACTTTCACTTGGTTCAGGCAACCAAAAGTTGTTTTTCCTTCTTCGTGCCCTGTTTCTCCATTAACACGTTCATGTTTGTATTCTTCGGATTCATCTCTGCCTGCTCTTTTCTGATCTGCTATGTGCTTCTTCTTTCATTGATGTTGGAGAAATGATAATCAGAATTTCACGCTCCATCTCCATTTCCTTTTCGCTTTTCATTTCATTCTTGTTTAGGAAAGTTTTTTTTTTCCAATTTTTTTCTCTCTTTCCTTAGTGACATGTTCATTCTCGTACTCATTCTAACCAGCTTTCCA